ATTGACCAATCATATCTTCCCTCTAAATGGGTGGGCTTTATTATGGCGGACTTTATGACAAGTTCCGCCCACTGTGAAACGTTTCTTGTTTCCATAGGAAAAACAACTGTCAATAGCGCAAACTCGCCTTCAAAATAAAAGCATGCCAAATTACACTTAAGACATACAACTCAAAGAAAGTAACAAACACAATGCAATATCCTTTTCAATTTCAAAGAACACAAATTGGGTTATTTACAGGTTTTGTTTAGTGTGGTAGAGGGTCGTTTTCATTGATGCGTTTTGCACCCCGGGCGGGCCGTTGCTTTGATATTCAACCAGTGTGAAAAAAAAAAAAAAGATAAAAAAAACATTTACATTTTTTTTTCGCGACCCACCTATCACATCTCTGTGCCCCACCAGTGGGGCGCGCCCCACACTTTAAGAAACGCTGGATAAAAGCAACTGTTACTTTCTTCTAGTGCATTTCAAATGGAGTAATTTAACGGTTAATGTGTTAAAAGGAGTTGGTGTACAGTAAATGACAGTCATCATGTGAGGAGCTTAAGTCTGTGAATAACCTTTTATATCAGCCAGCAACCCCGAGTGCCCTGTTAGTAACTTGTATGCAAGTAACTTTTCCATCATTATGTATGTGGGTTTGCATCAGGCCCGTGTGATTAAAATGACCAACACATGCGTATTGAATTGGCCAAGTCATGTCACAGTAAATAAAGGACAGAGTGCAGGGGCAGTTCAGGAGCATCAGAACAGGAGTTTGATGGTGCTTAAACTTCCCTCCCAGAAACATTTAACCTGGGCAACTACTTATACATACAGCACTTGTCTGAAGACAGGGTGTGCAAACTATGCTTACAGAATTGTGTTTTGTATCAGCTCACTAAAGCTAAAAGTTAGCAGCAACCAACACTCCTCACAACATCAACATCACTTATTCATTCCTCTCTGCTCCACTAAGCCACTTTTATTCCTGCCAAGTGCTTTCTTTGTTGATCTTTCACTGTTGGCACACTGCTGTTTTTACATTAAATGAACAGCTTAGGAGTGATATGGGTCATCGAAAGTAAAAACCCTCAAACAATTGCATCATCGTGGACAAGGATGCAGAACGGAAGATCTAGTACATTCCATGCCATCTGCAGCTCCCCCTCATTCATCATTATCATAATCATCATCATCATCATCATCATCCTCCCTCTTTGCTCTATCTTTGCCACCATGTGTGTTTTGGGACTAGGCTATCATCAGAGCTGTGACCTATTTAAGACAGAAACTTCATGTACCCACTTAATCTGTGTCTCCATCTCCAGAAGATGAGTTCCGTCTGTTGCTCACTGTAAAAAACTGTAAATTATTCACTCTTATTGTGGAGTGTGTTTAATCACTCATCGAGCTGTACACCGTAGTTACGGAGTCATGTGCTTTTTACTACGTGTCTTACAGTTGCCTAGGGGTTTGAAAGGGGATTCACTAGAAGCTGAGAATAACTCTTCAAGTGAAGTTGACTAATAATGCACAATATTGTCTAAAGTTCCCACATGTCTGCCGCAGAAGTAAGCGTTTTTTTGGACAGCTCTTAATGAAAACAGTTGTTACCGTAAGTGTATTGAGCCTCAGAATGTGTCGCCTCCCTCCCACCTATGGCAATGCACACGCCTATGGGATCAAAGCTGTAATTAGCCTGCCATGGATTAGCAATGGGGACTATTTTCCACTGTTCATGCTCCCACAGAGCCAGAGGATCAGAGGACCTTTTTTCTTCCTGCAGAGAAAATCTGTCAGGTTTGTTGATGTCCCCCAAGAGGCCAAGGAAACCTGAAACCTTCTGCCCCTGAGAGCTTGGACATCGGGCATTTCTTAAAGTGATTGTGGTATTTTCCTTTTGTT